CTTTCTGATACTTGTAATCAGTTACAAAAGAAGATAAATGCACTTGAATGTTTTTGTAAACAAACTGGAATGTCAATTAATCTTAGTAAAACAAAAGTTCTTGTCTTTAGAAATGGTGGGCTATTACGGGAATATGAAAAGTGGTCCTATAATGGCAATCCTATTGAAACTGTATCCTTTTATAAATATCTAGGACTTGTATTTACACCAAAGCTGGTATGGAGTAAAGCGCAAAGCTGTTTGGTATCTCAAGCTAACAAGGCGATATTTTCTGTAAATGGTTTTCAAAAAAAGATGGGAAGAGTAAATTGTAAAGACTTGTTTAAGATTTTTGACTGCATGGTTTCACCTATTTTGTGTTATGGGTCTGAGATTTGGGGTACTAACTATTGTAGCATCATTGAGTCTGTTCAGGTAAAATTTTGTAAATATTTCTTGAAAGTTGGTAAATCTACCTGTAATAACATGGCTCTTGGTGATTGTGGCAGACTTCCTCTACAAATTACTTATATGACTAAAGTAATTAAATACTGGTGTCACCTATTGTATATGCCTTATGATAGACTGCCAAAACATTGTTATATTATGCTCAAGTCCTTAGATGATGTTGGCCGCACTACTTGGGCAACTTGTGTCAAAAATATTTTATTTAAGTATGGTTTTGGCTATGCATGGATCAGTCAGGATGTTGGCAATGTTGATTATTTCATATCCTTGTTTAAGCAGAGACTTTCGGATAATCTTAAACAATGTTGGTCCACTTCAATTCAAAATTCAAATAAGTGTTTTATTATTCCCAATTTAAGACATTTTTAAATGTGGAAAGATATTTAAATTCTGATATTCCTTTACATCTCAGATCTGCACTCTCTAAATTTAGATGTGGAAATTTTAATTTAGCTGTTGAAACTGGTAGATACAATAAAGTTAATTACAACGAGAGACTATGTCTATTTTGTAAATTGGATGACAAAAATGTTATTGAAGATGAATTCCATGTACTCCTTAAGTGTGAACGTTTTTCTGATTTAAGGTTAAGATATATTCAGAAATATTTGACTGATTTTGATCCAAATGCCAATTTTATTAACATTATGAAAACACATAATGATTGTATCATAAGAGATGTCAGTATTTTCCTGTATCATGTACTTCAGCGCATTAGAAATGTTCCTCTTACGCAGCATGTGCACTAAACTATCTATATCATATGCAAATGACTGTATGATGGGCCTGTGGCCTTTTACTGAATAAACTTGTCTGTCTGTCTGTCTGTCTGTCTATTACTAATTAAGACACTGAAGCTGCATGGACACGTTCATTCTACTCTCCATTGTTTTTGTGTTACCAAATATTTATGCTGCCTCATCTTACCTGTATGGCATGTTTGTCGAAGTGCACTGCTTACAACTCTGTACTATATGTTTTCAGAGTGTAGTATGGCCACAGATACGGATAAAACACACATCATGTAAAACCTAACAAGTGTGAATCAGGCGCACAGTTGGTTTGTCGTTCGGCAGTGGGTCTGGGTGACCTCGACTTTCCTCGAACATCCGTGTCATCACAGCTTTTGTTAGTGATGCATTCCTGTCAGCTTTTCAAACGCCCTGTGTTTGCGTAACCATACCCAACAAACCGCGTAGCATAAGCAGCTTGGGGACTTTGATGAACAAAGGAGTCACGCTATACGATTACTGTTTGGTGTGCACTATGTCTCGTACAGTAGTGTTTTATGACGAGAGCAGCAGTAGGCACAGACTAGCGAGCTCATACACGTTTTAGCCAATAAGACGACGCTTTTAGCCGAGATGATTGCAACGATGTTATTCATAACGTCACAGGCTCATGAACAACAATATAGACGACACAGATTCTATGGAAAACTCCCATGCCTGGTGTGTAACGAAATACACAGACTTGCATAGTTAGACATGATGAATAACACACGGCTGAGAAATACAGGGCCAAATGTCAGCTCACATAAGGCTGCTGTAAGGGAATGAACATAAGATAATTGTTAATGTATGTTTACGAAACACACTTACGTCCTTGGTTAAAATCTTCAGCACCCAGGTCTCAGCGGGGATGCTGAATAAATCTGAATGTTTACCACCGCATATATGACAAAATCGTACTTATCGTACGGTAAAACGCTGACTATAAATGCAGTCCATTTGGTAGGCTGATATTTGGCATTGAGTGATTCAGTGTCCATAATTTCATTCGGAAATAATCCATTTGTAATAGGCGGGGTTCTGAACAAACTCCTGTCGCCCAGTGACAGCTAAGTTAAATCAACCTCTTTGGACTTCTTGTTGTGTGCTTTTATTTTATAATGTGTTGCTCGCTACTCAAAACTCAGTAACCAGTTCATCATCATAAACCTTATTAAGCGTAAGCTTATTAACTGAGACAGACTGAAAAGTAATAATAGTTTATTACAAAAACCTGGTAGAAAAATTGAAACAAACACTCAACAACTTGTCAATGTCACAATGCTCTAACTCACATAAGCATTCAGTCCTTCAGGTACTCGAATCCCTTAAACTACTCTTAAAACACCATCCAAACCAACCCTTCTAACCCGAACATTACCCCTTAACTACAGTCTAAAACCCATTTCTTTTCCTACGCTAATGCCTCCCCCCCCCCTCAAAACACACACACACACACACACACACACACACCTGACCTAACGTTAGAATAAGATCACATGACACCCCCATATTGCGCCTAGCATCCTGCTTTATAACAGGGAGGGAATGATCCTGAAACATGACCTCGAGACATCAGTACTACTAGGAGACACCTCATATGATGTTCAAAGCTAGACACTGAATTCAGAAAGGCAGCTCACTTATACAGCGCTCAAGGATGACCTTTGATGTGGGTCAAAGTTCATCTACTGACGTCTACGGACGTATCCACCAATCAGCGCCTACCTAACATCCACGTGGCCTACCCATTGTATCCAGCACTTCGATGAACAGTAACACCAGACAGAAAGTAGTCCCTTAATTAGAGCAAGTGAAACAATGTTCTACAAGACTCTCCGATAAACAATTAATGTGTCAATTGTAATTACTATCTAAATATCCCTATATGAACCCCTGCCCCCTACATGTACTTACATTACTATTTAACAAAAAATGCGACACTGAATGCGACATGGAAAACGCGAATGCATACGCATGTGATAATGTTCAGTTGAATGCTAGGACTTTTGTTTAAACACATACACATAGCGCACATCATCTATTATCTAAAAGAGCGTGAATTTATTGTATCCTTTATATCGAGTTATCCCATTCCTTTCTAATGTAAACACGAAGAGAGACTAAATTGAAATCCCTGAAGTTACTTTGGAATTGACTGTTTTAAGTGGAGCTGACGGATGTGGGGTTTCCTATGAAGTGAATGCTGATGGAAATATATTGACATTAATCAATTATTTATACAAATCATATTTGCTTCATGCAAATGTACAGTCATAGGTTTACTTTAAGAATGGTTTCAATTTAACCTCGGTAGATATAAACGTGTTGGGGAGTGTACCCACAAGTTAAGCATTTTTACTCATTTTAAATACTACTATCATTATTTCAAATCACTTATATCACTATGTTCTCTTTTTTTAGCAATTCAACACAATTCGTTGGCGAAGTTAACTAGTGCTCAGCCTACCCAGGACACTTGAAATGTTAAAGTGGGTCGTTTCCTTCACTGTGGTACCAATCGCCGTATGGTAAAGAGCCATTGCTGGCAAAACAAGGTAGCTACATGACCGCTGAAATACATGCTAATTTCTATGAACGCGGTAATAATCCATTTACCTATGATTACTTGTTTCAGTTTAATTCTACGCCACTTTTATCAATATTCCAGCAATATCACGGCAGGGGACATAAGACATAGGCTTCACACATTGTACCCATTCGAACCCGGGTCTTCAGCGTGACGAACGAATGCTTTAACCAGTAGTAGGCTACCCCACCGCCCCGCAATTACCAATGACCATGCATTTTGGAGAGTATGATTTGATTTCCAGGGTATATAAACCTGTGTCATAAACCACAACATTACAAATATTTCACACATTATAGATGAAACCGATGGCCATATTTACACAACTCTGTCACATGAATTGTGTTCTGCCAACTGCACTTCTGTTTCGTGACCCGGATAAGAAATGTTTGACGGCCAAATGATACTGGCATTATAACGTTGGTCAATGACATATATTTCTCGCATGGTTGCATTAGGGAACTACTGTTCCTTCGTGTGGTGTTAGTCTCTTTACAGAAACCTCGTGGAAGTTTTAAAGACATGTAAATACACGATATGTAACAGCATTAGTTTTGCAACAAGGTCTTCCTGTTCGACGTCATATTGCATGCATAGCTGAAATCCAGCCATCTTGGCCTCTAAAGCCACTGCATCAAATGTCTTATGATCTCAAAGATGTCAAAACCCTTTTTCATTCCTTCGTAACATCCAAGCTTGATTACAGCAACAGGCTTGTATTTGGATACAGAAACAGCAATTTGGACAAGCTCTAGCGAACACAAAACTCATCAGCTAGAGTAGTTACCCATACAAAGAAGTACGAGCATATAACACCTGTACACAATCAGACAAGGAGGACATTACTATCTACGTCAACTCTCTTAGTTTCTCTCCCAGTCACACATACTGTCACACACGGTGATAGAACATTCTGCAAAGAAGGAGCTGTGTTGTGGAACACACTCCCAGCCTACTTACGTGATAATACCAACAAGTTTCCGACCTGAACTGAAGAGCATACAACCTAGGGGCTTTGAGCATTTTTCTGGATTACGACGATATAAAAATGCTCAACTTATTATCATTATAATCTATTTACCTTACACATTTCTATGCATTTTAGACGGATGAGCACCTACAAGTTCAGTGGCAGTGTCTCACATTTCCCCAGACAATGGTTACAATGACACAGGTAAAAATGGTCTACTTACCTGTATATCTAACTGTGCCACACGCTCTGTGTTCTGTGTACGTATACAACGCTCAAGTCACCACAACTTGCCCTACTTAGATGAATTGCCGTTTGCATGAATGAACTGTCCTGTAACAAGCACGTTGGAATATACCCTCGTCTGAGAAAGCAATTCCTCCGTCCTATCACCAATTGAATAGAATATGCAATAGAGCAATAAGCAGTCGTGCATGCACATGTTTCTATGGTGCTTTTATGTAACTATATTCATACTGTATAAGCTAACAATTTAAAGAAACCTCTTTGTGCTGGAGTGGTGCTTTCAGTTAGCTCATCTATAGCCCGATTTTATATTATGTTGTTTTTAAATGATTTAACATTTTACACTGAACTAGTTTTAATCAATTTGTGATATTCTAGTCGTTATACTGTCCTTCGCTGGCAGGTTTTTAAATAAGTATACATATGTTCATTTTTAGTACATAACTTTTTGCCGTCACAATATGGCTGAAATATTGCCGATGTGACGTTAATATTAACTCACTCACTCACCCATTCAGTTAACTCAAAATTGAAACTCAAGCGGATTAAGGCTAAAAGGAATTATAGCCTGTATCTGAACTGTGTTCACTTAGTGAAAGCTAACTCAAATAACTGAGTTCACCAGGTAAATAAAGTTTGATTTTGTGAACTGTGTTCACTTTGACTTTGATGGATTTTGATGAGATTTCTTACAAGGATTAAGAAGGCATTACCACAACGCAACAGAAATCACCTTCCAGTTGAAATTGTGCAGCAAAGAGCATGCACTGTCTGGTTATAAAATTCCAGATTACTTTTAGAAATCGGCATTCGTTTAGAAGGAGTTTCACTAGCCACGTCTTGACGCTGCGACACGGAAAATCGCCATTGAAAGAATGCACGCTGGAGATTACCAATCTTCTGTTGCCAGGCGTCTGAATGATAGTCTGAGCACGATATCACGGCTTACAAATCGTCACAACCAAACAGGCATAACAAATGACCCTCCCCATACAGGCAGACCTCGAGTCACCACTGTAGCCCAAGATCGCTACATCCGGGTACTACATTTGCGTACTGCCACGGGTGAGAGGACAGCAGCCAAGGTGCCTGGACTTCGGAGGATATCCGGTCAAACTGTACCGAACAGGTTGAAAGAGATTAAACTGAGTGCCAGGAGATCCAGTCGCGCCCGTTCTACGTCGTCACCATGGCGCTCAGCGTCTTCGTTATCTAAAATTATCCACTTGGTTGTATAGACATTTCTTTCTTCTAAACTGATGCAAAAATTCATTTCTTAAAGTCTATTTCTGGACGAGTTATACGTATTTGAAAATACAACATTTTTGCAACAGATTTCCGAGTTATGCGTTTCTTTTGGGAATAGTATATATTATAAATAAGCAGTGTGTGTGTTTTATTTGTATTTTCGTTTTTTGTTGTTTTGGCTGGGTTTTTGGGGCAGTATTCTGAATCATTGAATTCTTCCATTTCAAGAGTCCTACATCATGGAAGTCATGCAGATTTGTAGATATGTACCCTTATATAACCAGGTTATGAATTCTGTCCTACTTTGATATGACTGAAGCATTTTCTGACTGTGTTGAGATATGCCAATTAGGCGTATTGTGTTATTACGGGATAAAACAGAGAACACGATAAATACCAGGGATGATACATGTATGGACATTAATCACCAACACTATTACAAGTTATGCCGTGAGTTGGAACAAAAGGGAAAGGGAGTCAGTTATCCTTCAACCATCAGACCTCAAATCAGTGCATGAAACGCCTATCCTTCCTTGTCAGTCAGTATCGTGTATACCTACAAGGATCACCAATACAGGCCCAAACACGAGAATGTAAAATGTCTGAACACAAAAAAGGGATTCGACACTATTCTTTTTGTGTAACCTGTTCAACTCATCTCCGCAAGTAACTGAATCTGCACTTTACTGAGAACTGAATGTTTTATCCCATATATAACATATGTTCTCTGTTTCAGTATATTTGTTGAAAAAAACCGAATGTCAAAATCCATCTTCTATGAAACAGCTCTTTAGCAATTTGCTAAATTTGTGTCACATTAAAAGGCAGTTTAATTTACAGGTGACCAAAGTGAACATTCACACCGCATCACATTATTTTAACAATAGTTAATCTTAAATATTTATATTCACCTTAACATCTTACCATCATGCATACCATTTCACACAACTGCGTCTTTTACCTCAACATTTCAATTTATCATATCCTACTCCTCACCCGTTTTAGTGCTCTTATCTATTTATTTGTTTACTGTCTCAGTGCTTACTGAAATGTGGTATGTTGCAATTCCTTTTTTTGTTCTGTCTTATGTGTTTTACGATGTAACCAACATTTCCTTCGGGATAATAAAGTATTATCTTATCTTATCTTACTATAATCGTTTTTTCGTTGTGTTTTTGTACTCTCTCTAGAATTCTCATTGACCGAATTCAAACATACAAACGTGTTTCCCCTCACAGTCAAACAAGCACAACACCCAAAACATCATGTAAAACCAGCATGTGCGCACTGCATGCATTAGCCAACTGCACGTCCCAAACATATAAAGAGGTCACATATGTCAACACCATGTGAAGTTGTTTTCACTCTCCCCCGCAAAACAATATCCTAACAAATGCACCCTACCTTTTTGTTCAATATTTATTTTTAACCGAAATATACCTCGAAGATAATTAAAATGAACATAGCAAAGAGAACTCAAAATCGTATCACATAGTATATCAACGTGATCAACCAAAATAATTATTTCTTATCAATAAGTTTTCATATTATTTACAAAGAAGCGGTTATTTTGTTACAGGTTGCATTTATCACAATAAGGCGTTTGAAGTTAATGTTTTGCCTAATTTGCCTCCACGAGGGTAGTCTTAGAGTTCGCCATTATGTTATCATGTTATTGAATTATTTGGTAATCCTGAGTTCACAGGACGCCATTCACAATCAGGTCCCAAGGCACCAAGTATACACTTTCAGCAAAATTTATCTGTGGCTATTATAAAGTGAAAAGTCAACTCGCATTTGCGAGATATGTTCGTATATATATCAAAAGGATATATGGAAAAGTACCCGTGAAGATCCGGGGTAGAATAGGTGTTCAGCAACCCATTCTTGTCGTAAAAGGCGACTATGCTTGTCGTAAAAGGCGACTAACGGGATCGGGTGGTCAGGCTCGCTGACTTGGTTGACACATGTCATCGGTTCCCAATTGCGCAGACCGATGCTCATGCTGTTGATCACTGGATTGTCTGGTCCAGACTCGATTATTTACAGACCGCCGCCATATAGCTGGAATATTGCTAAGTGCGGCGTAAAACTAAGCTCACTCACCCACTCAATATATGGAAAAGTAGCCTTTGTCTGGACTGTTTGCATGGCCAAGCTGTCTTTCGAGAACATTCAAGAAACGTTTTGTGGTCCAAGGGAGATAACTATTGTTGTTTTTTAACCAGCTGATCACATTCGTCACTACTCGACCTTTTCCGTACCTCTGTCGACGAATTTTATGTGCGAAAATACGACAAACCAATCAGAACGCGCGTAATGAGTGCGGTACTTTGATAAAAAATAATCCTCAGTACGTACTTAAATCGTTTATGGTATTATGTGTTTGTTACAATCATGAAAAATATGTATCAGCATATTAAAAATACAAAGATTATAGCTTACATAATTGTGTTGCCTGATGTGAAGTTATTAATAAAAGAAAGAGGCCATGGACGATGAGAGATTCACATACACGCGTATATTTACATAATGGTTGTCCTGGGCCCAGTTGAGTCTTTTTCTGACGAACTTGCAGGCTTGTTTTGGTGATTGTACGTGCGCTTTCCGACATTTTTAGGAATCATAATTTCATAAATTGCTAATTATAAATTGTTTCAAAACAATATATTTATTTTATTATTAATATTTAAAGTCATTTTTGTGTATCTGTTTGGAAGTAAAGGTAGCTGAAAAATATTATTCTATTAAACAAATCCCATGTGTCATTCTTAAACCCTATTTAGCTGGTAATACTTACGTTAGAATATGTGTTTAAGAAACATATTTCTCCTCTTAGTTGTATCCCTCCCGGGGCACACGAGTCGGTATTCAGCTTGTCTCGGAATAACAAGAGTTTGTCACGAATGCGAACAACCATCTGAACTTAAATAAGCGCATGAAATTCCATATAAATCCTTCACAAAGTAACACCTGCGTCATCATCTTATATGCCGGCCTTTCCTCAACTGGACAATGGATAGAAAATGTGAAACGTCTGATATCCGAAATGGGATTCGACACCATTCTTTTTAGAGAGGCTGACCTACCTGATCATTTGTTAAAAGTATGTATCAGTTGCATGCTGCCGAAACCAGCGACGTGGTGTTGCTCCTTCATGTATCATAACTTCTTTTGAGTGGCATTTTTAGAAGTTGGAGAGTCAGAAAAGGATACACTTTATGGATGAACAACTTCTTTATTCAGGTGATTGAATGGTGCGCTATTCCTTTTATACCGATACATGTTGGCATGCTGCAAGTGCAGTAAACATTTAACTTTAACTGAAAACTCAACTTCCATGAATTGGTATAAGGTACTACGTCAATTGCATGACTTGTTTTGGTTGTTTAAGCGACATATTATCAACACTTTTGCAACACTATTTGGAGGTTAAACATGTCAAAGTCTTAGTTTGATAAATTCTTTAAAAAATGAATTATAGGTTTCGATTGGACCTTTGTTCAAGATTCAAGATTCAAGATGTTTATTTGTAGAAGGGCCATATGACCCAAAATACAAATGTACAATATAACATAAGATTCTACAGATTTACTTACTTTAGTTTTATACATTCAAACACATGTTTAAGAAATTTAGCAAGATTTAACAGAAAGGTGTTATTATTTGATTGGCACAGGTTTGAAACATTATTATGGTTACCACTACTACAATTTGGGATGAATCGCTTTCTCTCTGTTACAAAATATACACAATCATACAGTACATGTCTTTCATTCAGCATTACATTACAGTGTTTACAAATGTAGGAGTTATTAGTAAAGACATTTTTCTTACTCAGATATCCACTTCTAAATATAGTTAATACACGTCTATGCTCATGGGAACTAATGTTTAACGAATATTTTTCACAATTAAGCAAAGACTTATGGGAATTATAAAATGCGAGAGAATCACTCTGAAGAGAATAGTGCCAGTTCTGATAAGCACATTCTGTAACACGTTGACTAAAGATATAAATGAAATGATCTGGATCCCCAACCTCTTGGCTTATCCAAACAAAACCATAGCCATAACGAAAAAGTAAATATTTTACTTGATTGGCCCAACTCGGCCTTTTTCTCTCAAGAATGGACAACAGCATATTATAACATTGGAAAGCATATTTGTTGCTGCTATGTAAATATCATTTCACCGACTTCACTGTTTTTACCACTGCTATTATATTTTATACTTCTATTCTACTATGTACTACCATAGTTTAATGCAAATTTTGCTGATAAGTGTGAAGGGGTTTCTTGTGAAATGTTGCATTAAAGTGTGTATTATCCTTGTTGGAAAGTTGTGTCTGAGTACAATAAAAACCAGGTTGAAACACCAGCGTTAGGCTTTATTGTTTGAACAGCAAAACGAAGATAGTCCTGCTAGTTGGTTGTTATCGTGTCGATTCCTCCTGTAACCTTGCTGCTTCTGTAGTTCGCAGGTCGCCATTCATCATCAGGCATTAAGGCAAGACGTACACTCTGTCAATAAAAGCAATTGATAAGGAACAAATGTTTCATCCGCACACACTTCAAGGCCAGTGCCGAACAGGACATTCTACAATAATCCTGTCTAAATTCTACTTCCCTGCTACCAAATCAAAGACCTTCAAATTCAAATGTGAAAAGCAGTGTAATGGATAACATAATCTGAAATGTCATCAGAATACTTTAAGACGGAAGAAAAACAATGTATCACCTTCTTCAGGGAATTGGTAGCCATGTGCTTCCTGACAGTCAGGACCATGTAGAGGGGTATCGGTAGAAGGGGCAGTACTGCAATGAACCAGCCGATTGCAGAGGCGTAGCTAGGAAACTCGTACTTGCCGTAGGTTGGTGGCTGGTAGCGGAGAAGTGTCAAGATGAAAGTGATCTGGATATAAAACAAAGTGTCGTGAGGGTAACATGTATAATTGGTGTGTATTTGGTGCCGATACATTTCAGGAGACGCCTGAAATGGGCTTCACACATTGTGCCCATGTGGGGAATCGAACCCGGGTCTTCGGCGTGACGAGCGAACGCATTAACCACTAGGCAACCCCACTCACCTCACACATATTTTAAACACATATACAAGGTATCATATGTCTATATGAGACTTCAATGCCATCATTGTATCGTGCAACTGCATTGTACTTACTATCAATATTGTCGGCGTTACCAGAGCCCAGAGGATCTTTACAGGCATCGGCAGTGGCTTGCCAATCATCATCTCAACGTCTTTACTAATTCGTGTTATACCTGACAGAACATATGGTCACACTGACAAACATTGTAAGGTAGCGTTCATAACTAAATGTTTATTAATATGTGTACTGTACCTACTTTCTGACAATGTTACGACCGGCTCTCTACCCCATGAATAAAAAGCAAGTAATCTATTTGTACAAAGTCCGCCTTCAAGTAAACACATTTTGAAGTTAAAACATACAGTGAGAAACTGTATATTGTCATCCACGATTAGAAAGTTTAAATTTGAATACGTTTGAATACGTCTGTACCTTGAACATGTGTCTTGAAGATATACTTCTAGCAGCTGAAAAAAGACTGAATAGAAACTATGGCCATAAAAATCCATTTGCCCATAAAGTCGGCAGTTGACTTTTCCCCATTCAAACGCTTGCTGAAGAACCACCTGTTTTCCTCTCATTACATCTAACTATGTATATCCTTGTGTGTTTAAAAATGCGTGTAACAAATGCACATTTAATATCATTATGTAAACTACAAAGAACGAGTTTCGGGATTCCAACGACCCTTACGGATCTTTTACTTCCAACACAATATATAGGGACAAAATTCAACTTGTTCATTGACAAGAAATGAGCTGTTTGATAAATGTTTATAAGGAACTGTTGTATGCAAATGAAGTGAATAGAAAATCTTGGAATAAAGAAAGTTTTCTGATGGTGACCTGTAAGTCCATTCTGGACCAGACAATCCGGTGACTAATATTGTGAGCAACGGCGACCACAAACCCACAAGCAATCATCACATGATGGATTGAGTTAACTTTAAGAGTAAGCATAAATAAATGTACGCACCATATATCCACGACACGACAATACACTCCATTGTACTTATCACCATGGGCCCGAGAGACAACACATACCAGTCGACCAGCTGAAACATGTACGGCCCTCCCTGCAACAGGAAGTCAGCAAGTCCATATCGTCCTTCAGGCAATATATACTATTATGGTTAACAGATTTTACTCACTTTTACGTTTAGTACTGCCACCCTCGTCGCTGCCGCCTCTTCCTTGCTCTTATGTCTACCGGCGCAGCAATAACTTCTACTGCTGCTCCTTGGACATTACTGCTATTACAACTTGTACGACGTTTTCCACTCAAAATACCACTACCATTGTCATAGATGCCAATACAGTAACTCCCTCTACTACTACTACTACTGCTACTTCTAGTAGTACTGCTTCTGCTAGTACTACTACATCTACTACTACACTACAGTCACTGATACATGTTGTAATACATAACTATTTGCTTTCATATTGCCATTAGGGTTCATTCTATATTGAATGACCTTGCTGGAATATTCATATCTGGCCACAGCCACTGTTTTATTAATTAAAAGTTCTCCATGTTCTTCAATATTGGTTTTCATGAGTCACTGAGTCGTAAGCATTGTTGAAAAACACTGGGTGTTTTGTCCTACTGGATTGTTCAACAGGTAAACATAGTCACCTGGGTACAGAAGATGAGTCCAATCAGAAATACTGTCAGGCAGCATCCTCCTGTTAGAAACATCCTCTTCTTGCTCAGCTGTCGTGGATACTGGTCAATCAGGGCAGTAATAATGACTTCAGTACTCAGGAACTGGAAGGACAACAGTGGACGGTATAGCTCGATGCAAACCAGTAATATGTTCATAAACATCAGTGTTGTCCAGTCGTATTTTACTCTGAATGCTATTGTTAATTTTGCGATATTGAGCTGTAAATGTCGTTTAACACGTCCTTCAGACATATTTCATCAATGGCATTGCTGCTTGTAGATAATACACTGAACATTAAAGCACGCGACCATCAGTAATTATTGTTTGTGTGTTTTGCCTCCACACTCAGTTTGATATTGGGTATTGAAAAAAGGAAAGGCGTATGACTTCTTCAGGATATGTGTAAAAATGTCTGCGATGGTCGAATCTGAACCAGACAAAGCATTGATCTAGTTCATGCTTCAAATATGATGTTTTAGTTACTACCAGAAACGGCTGATGGAGACCTGCGCTTACCAGGCAGCCTTAATGCCGGGGAATTGACACTATCTCCTTTTGGTTACTATCAGAATATGCTGATGGAGACTGCTATAAATTGAAATTGCGAATCCCCAGGCCCTGACACTCACTCAATCAATAGGCTGCTGGAGACTTGTTCTAAATTGGAAAACCAATCCCAAAGCAATTGCCATTTTATATTTGGACCACAGTACCGTTCTCAGCTATCACGATGAATTAGAACATTGAATTGAACGCAACATATTGTACCTGTGAATCCAAACCAACCATGAACAACATCAGAAAGAACATGAATGACCACAGCTGAGGGACCGGAAGTTGTGCGAGAGCGTCTGGATAGGTCACAAATCCCAAACCTGGACCTGCAATAGAAACGCGATATACAGCATGAACCAATATATTCAGAATGTTGCAACTAAACACTTTGCTTTGCAAGGATAATAGCGTCTTGAAGCTGTTAGTGGATGACTGTAGTCCGGGGTTGAACTTTATGTTTATATGGTTCATTTTGCATACAGGCCCTGAGTATCTTACCCAAAATATGATTATCATTAACACTGTAAAATTGTGAACTTCGCCTCTATTTCACATCCGTGTCAATCCGTGTGCATATTGTTAATCGAAACAAGGTAATTTTGACAACTTAAGCTTCTTACATATGTGTTATCGATCAATATCAAACAAATTGCCACTTCCCTTCCACAGATTTACCAACCTGAACTTGAACTACATGTAATGTATACCTGTGAGACCACTTCATGTGCATTAAGTTTAGATCCAATCATAAAGATTCAGAGTGTCAAAAACACTCCACAAGGTTGAACCATCAGATTACGGACTTCAGCTTTACATTTATGTCAATATTCTAACACCTCCAGCCTTTGGTGTGCACATTTAACACATTTTGAGGTACAATCGAGCCTCACATGACTCTTGTTCATTTGGATCAAGGTTGTAGCATTCAAGTTGTCAGTAAAGCTTTCAAAATGTTTTATTGGAGTTTTCTGTGAAGAATATGGCACAGTTTTAATTTACAACTCGCAAACCTGGCTGTTCTACCAGCAAGTGGTCCTCCCTCGTAAGAAGCAGCGAAAAGTGACAACAAAATAATGATCGTTTGTTGAACAACTTTTTTATTCGGGTGTCCAAAATTATGAGACAAATCGCCAGAGTTGGTCTGTCGATTTCACATGACTGTGCAAAGTTTGATTTTGTTGCATTTATTAGATTTTGTGTTAGTGAGCAATTCATCGGTCTCAAATGAAGTCAAACGGACTATGGTGTGTGACGAAAATACGTCGTAACCCTGGGATGATCGAGCAGGTTGCCGCCTGAGTAGTCTACCCTTTCTTACACTTGAGTGTGTGTACCACACCTGGAGAGGACCCAGCGACAGAGGCCTAGATGACGATGCATCTCTGACTCTTGTGACCTTTATGTGTGCGACATGAACGGACATTTACAGTACCATCTTTGAACTGAACATATTAATCAGTTTAATATTCATGTGTTGGCGCAGATTGTGAAGATGGTTGTACGAATCATGTAATCATGTATGATCTGTTGTCATGTTATTAAAGTGTAGGTATTAGTGCTTAATTTATTATAATATCAACGTGTGTGTGTGTGTGTGTGTGTGTGTGTGTGTGTGTGTGTAAACTAATTGCTTGTCCGTGTGATATAGGGTGTTAAGAAGCGAGTGTTGGGAAAGTGTTGTGAGAGTCGGGTGAGACTTAGACTGACGTATGAGTAAGTGAATGGGGTTTACCTGTAGGGAGTATGCAATGTGTGTACAGTGAGTGTGGAGATGGATGTTTCATGTGTGGAAGTGTGTGTGTTGTAATATCTATTTGAATAAACTTATGTTGTTAATTTTCATACTGTGTTGTGTTGTGATGTAGATGATGACGCTCTAGGGCTATTTCGTGACAGTATCCTTACACTGTGACCTCAAGCAGTGGCCTTATCACTTGCTCCGTAATTCAACTGTGTCCCAAACACAATATACCATTGAACTAGTTAATATGAAACCTCGTTTTCAGCAGTCCTCTAATCACTTTCCCTTACTGTTTCACAGAAATAGGTGTCTGTTTTTTAAAACGAAAACCCCTTAGATTACCTACCCCCTGTGACAACAGTTTCAATGGGAACGCCCGTTCTCTGTGACATGACTCCGAGAGCAGCAAACGTCACCAGGCCACAGAAGATACTGGTTCCTTCTGAGATAATCGTCAATATGACACTATCTCTGTGAATATAAACACACAGGTTATTAACTATTAAATTGTATCACTTTCTAATCCTTACATTGCTAGAGGTAAAGGTGGCACATCGACATCCGTACAATCACTTGAATAACCCAATGATGAAACAAATATTAAAACGTCTCTGTCCTCAAGAGGTTTGTACAGTGGAAGCCCTGTAAACCGGCATCCGTTGGGACCGAGACTAAATTGCCGATACTGAGTGCATGCCGGATTGGAGGACTGCCGGTTTAGAGGGCTTCCACTGTATATTACAACCAGCCTATTCGCCCCTAACACGGAACACCTAACTAAACTACCTCAAAGACCTCCAAACCTATTTTAATAATGATGATTTTCTGGGTTTAAAAAATGCAACTTTCTGGGATGTAATCACAGCTAATCATGTAACGTTTCATTGAGAGACTTTGCCACACGATTGCACTGGTTGCGCTGAGTCTATGATTATAGCTGAACACACCTTCAGACATTCAGTTTTATACACATCTGATCCATATGATGCTACGTGTAATTTGTAAATTGTCCTTGACATTGCAGTGATAGAACACACGTCTATATCCAAAGTGATTGTCAGTAATGCACGCAGAAGTAAGCACAGTCCTGTTGTCTTAAGTAATCATGTAAGGTTTCAGTTTGATATTTTGTCATGTTATCGCTCTGTTGTGTTTTAAACTCACCGGAGACATGGTTCATGGAAGTTGTTGTAGCTGGCAGCAGTGCCAATCATCCCGAATCCAACTCCCAGTGAATAGAACACTTGCAAACATGCTTCCAGCCACACCTATGTGAAGCGGTAATGTAATTCATCGTCAAACAGAATTATTTTTGCTTCATTGCTCCTATCAACATTCAGTAGATGGGAGGGGTATGCTAGTTACTATATCTAAACAGGGAGTTGATATTTGTCTGGAAGCATCAGAAGAAGCCGGAATATCCCAGCATAGTCTCAACATAGAATGCTATAGAGTGAGTGACTGAGGTAATACTCAACGTCACATCAGCAATATTTCAGCCATAAAGATTTATGTCCGTTACTTAACATGTCGTCAAAGGACAGTAAAACAAAAGAATTAGTGAGTTATTATTTACATCAACAATATCTCAGCGATAACGTGAAGAGATAAATTTGACATTGATAAGGACAACTTTTATACTAAAAAACCTGTCGTCAATAGACAGAAGTACTGATAATAAAGGATCACATCAGGTATACACATTCGTTGTCCGTGTTTCGTTAAGCCGCAACAGCATCTTCGCAGCTCTTCGCGGATAGCGTACATGTAGTCCAGCTCCAGCATGTTACAGACATAAACGCATGATGATGATATGCTGGGAAAAATACGATATACGACGCTATTAGCAGTGATTTATGATGACATTAGTGATATTACATAGTCACAGAATGTTATAGAAGGAAAACATCGGAAGTTATGGAATGAAACATAAAAGTGTTTTCAAGCATGTTACACGATTCAAGAACTCGAAATTGAATACTATTTTATCAATGAATACGCAATGCCATTTTAGAAATTGGTCAAATGTAACATATGTTATATTTGCAAAATAAATGTTAGTCGGGCCTGTTTGGTCAGTATTCATTAACACTGGAAGCCGAGGGTTGTAAGGAAATACATAGAACTGCAAAGATTTGAATTTCGTCAATTTAAACACACCTGTATATCAAGTAGTTTGTTGAAGTCAGGTATGAAAAAGTAATGCACGCCATTTAGAGCACCTGGTTGCAGCAGCGTTGTGATGCAGATGGAGATGAGGAGGACGTACGGCAGCAGCGCAGTCACGTACACAGCCTGCAGGAGGGACAGATCAAGTTATTGGACATGCTGTGACCTTCATGGCATCTATATTATCTGGATTACGAAAACTTTGAATTATGTATTAGCTTGTGAATCTAATATTATTTACATTAAATATAACGGATATTTACACACAACAGCTAGTAAGTAAGTGAGTGAATATGGTTTTATATATATTCCTGCAATATCACGGTAGGCACCAGAAATTGGCTTCACATATAGTACCCATATAGGGAATCGAATCCGGGTCTTTGGCCTTAACCACTTGGCTATCCTACATAACTCCCATAATCAAATGGATCATTGATGTGGGATAGTTCTTTCGATTGCTAATGCAAATGAATTTGTTTCGGTAGATAAATCCCAGTAAAAAACCATTGTATCATGATACATAATATTATGATACAGATACCTGCCAAGATATTGCGATAGGCACAAACAGTGACTTAATATTTAACGTCACATCGGCAATGTTTCAGCCATATCGTGACGAGAATAATTTTGACGTTGATAGAAAATATGTGTATGTTACAAAATCTGTCATCAAAGGACAGTGACAAACTAGATTATCACAGTTAGAATTGAAAGTAGTGTCTTTACTTATATCATTTTTTGGACAAAACAAACTAAAAACAGGCTATATATCGCCAACAACTGAAGGTAGATCACCATACTGGGGACCATGGGGACTTACAGTACCTTTGTTACCTGCATTGACCCTAGCTGGATTTACACCATCCCATCAGCCGCTGGCGATGGTAGGAAAACTGAGCCATAATTTAAAAAAGGAAATATTATACGATTAAAAAGCTTGGTAGACCTAAATTGACTTAAAAGTTTGGGGACCGGCACAGATAAATTGGACAGCTCGTTCGGGACCAACGATCTCACTGAGTGATACTGGTAGTAAATCAAAGTGGGAGTGATTGACATCAGGAGCATGGGTGTACACAGTGTCGTTGAGCCTGACAACCCGATCCTCCCTAGTGACTTCTTGCGACTAGCGAGTCAGCACAGTAAGCTTAGGGAACTTATGTCTTGTTTCCTGTTGAACAAAGAACTCGTGTACAGTTTGTAAATATTGAGATCTGAACTTTGAAAGGATCTACCCGTATCTGAGTGGATGTTGTGTGGAATAGTAGGCTCGGAATCAGTGTATTCAATACTAAAAGGGGAGGGTTACAGATGTTATCAGTGATATGAAGAATTTCTGTGAACATTACCTTACCAACAGACTTGACTCCACGAATAAGACATAAAAAGATTACGACAGTTGAAAACAAGAGACATCCAACTGTGTGCCACTGCAGAGACCCCACATCCTCCAAGCCTGTTGAGACACCAAGGACATTGTAGCTGAAAGCCAAACACAGGGTATGAAATGTGACAAGAATCCAATGGTATGATGAAGGGGAGAAACCTACTAATTACTTTTGCCATCTGGAGAATAGAAACTACACAAACAAACTTATTAATTCTTTTATTATTGATACTGGTTATGAAATAACAGACGGAGAAGCAATAATGAATGAACAGAATATTTTTTAAGAAACATTGTATAAATCAAGTAATGTAATCGATGACGAGAGTAAAGCTGTATTCCAAACTATTGCCACTCCTTCCTTAAACAAGACCGATCAGATGAATTAGAACGTGAAATACTTCTCGAGGAACTTTCACTTGCTGTTAATATGAAAAACAATAAAAACCCTGGCCTAAATGGTTTCCCCATAGAATTCTTTAAGCTCATTTTGAAAGTGATCACGTGTATAAAGAATCAATTTAATGCGAAAGACTCAGGATGGCTGATGTTAAAACTTTTATTGATTCATTAAAAAAATCCTGTTTGAAGAGATACGTTTTAAAATCAAACTGCTAGAGACTAGCCGTTTTTCTAATAGAACACATCCTTCGGTTAGGAGCGAAGTCATTCAAACAGCTGGACACCCAAGCATAACAAAAGTATTGCTATGTTCCCCTTGGAATGATCTTATTAAACTTACTAAAGGATCAAGAACATTTTACGATAGTCTCATATCTAAATCCAGTTTTCTAAACGTATGCGATAAATGGGAAAGTGAATTAAACGATCATATTTATTAGAAGACCATATTTGTGCAATATAGACCTTTCAAGACATGTACACAAAGCTTTTGGATTTCCAATACAAATTTACACATAAAGTTATTTATACAAAACGAGAGTTATTTAAAATCAACTTCAAACCATATATACATATATATATATACATTCTTTTTAAACAGGAGCACCATATTGTCGCAAAGAATCTTTATACGGGAAACGTATTTCGACAAAGCGTGTCCTGATAAAAATATCATGATAGATATATCGTACTGCCAAAACTCCTCCGCAGGTGTGTGAGCTAGAGTCACATTTTCCCATTTTTCAGATTTGGTGATGGTATATGACGTATTCCTTGCATGGGCTGTCTTGTTACTGCTGTACGTTGTATTCACGTAGTCAATACACAGGTCGGTGTTCCAGCTGTTGCCACAAGTTGTCCAGGGCAGGACGCTTGTGCAGGACTTCACCATGTAGTAGATGGGCCAGGCCAGATACAGGTTGTAATAGGGCATGTATGCAAATGCAACAACAACAGCGCCAACACCAACTCCTGGTTGTCGATACAACAAAACCCCAATTATACGCCTTCTTCAGGAACAAGAATACAGTATATATATATATATATATATATATATATATATATATATATATATGTGTGTGTGTGTGTGTGTGTAACAACATATGTTATATTTAGGATTAATCCCAAACAGAACATATGCTACATTTGACAACTTTCTAAAAGGCATTGTGTTTTCATTATATCTGCTGGAAAACGCAACATGTCGAAGGCATGCAAATTTAAAACGTCAACACAAGGTAATATCCTAACCATTTACTTTATTTGTCCCCCAAACTGATTGCATCAGGCGTTAAAGGCCACACAGTCGAGACAATTGTGGGAATGGATCACTGAGAATAAGGTGAGTGAGTGAGTTAAAACGTAACGTCACATCGACAATATTTCAGCCATATCGTGAAGAGAACACATTTGACATAGAAACGGACTACATTTATACTATAAAACATCCAGTGAGCTGCAAACAAGTGGTAATAAGGGATCACATCATGTATACACATTCAACACA